TAATTACTACTGTTTCTTCTACTCCTGCTTCTTACTCTTTATTCTTCTACTTCTGCTTCTTAATTACTCTTTATTCTTCTACTTCTGCTTCTTAATTACTCTTTATTCTTCTACTACTGCTGCTTCTTAATTGTTCCTCCTGCTTCTAGCATTCTATTTGTCTTTTGTTTTCTACTCCCGGAGCCCGGCCATAGGCCAGGCTCGTCTGGTGCTTGCCTGGTCAACCAGGCTGTTGCTGCTGGTGGTTCGCCGACCCACGTATCCATTACAGTCTGGTTCATCTGGCACCTGGTGAAGATACTTGTCCACTTTCCTCTTGATGAGTTCTACATTTGTTCCAGCAGTTTCCGATATCTTCTGGTAAGATGTTAATAGTCTGGAGCCACGAATGTTGATACAGTGTTCCCTTACTGTGCCCACGGTGCCCTGCTCCTCAATGGGTTAATTTTGCACTTTCATAGAGATAATGCAAGCGTTGTATCTGGAGTATACCTGGAGGTTGTTTCGGGGGTCAACCTCCCCCCCCCCCTGCCACAGTCCTTGACCAGGCCTCACGTTGAATCAGGGCCTGCCTGATCCACCAGGCTGCTACTGCTGGCCGTACGTAGTCCAACGTACGAACCACATCCCGGCTGATCGAGTACTGACTTTAGGTACCTGTCCAGCTCCTTGAAGGCAGCCAGGTATTTATTGGTAATTTCCCCTCATGTATACTCAAGTCTCTGTACCAGGAATGCATCTTCCAAATCCTGTGTAACATATTACGTGATACAATATACCTACTGATGAAATCACAAGAGATGGGGTGGTAGGGGAAGTGGAATATTCAAACCACTTCAGGGAGAATACCAAATATTTTTCCTCGAGGCCTTTTTTTTTTTCTACTCCGAGGCTGTGGCTCCCCACAGTTTGCACCTAAGAGATGAAACTAAATAAAGTAAAAAAAAATGAAGATAATTCTCGTGTATCCTTATTCATGTCTCCACACCAAGTGTTGCTGGTACTATCTGTCCAGTAACTGAAAACCATTGTTGTTATAACTCACAACAAGATCACCATAACTTTGATACCCTTACATTCCTGTATTATTTACACTTATTATGGCTGTACACAACTTTTTAATCGTTTAAGGAAAAAAATATTTTTTTTTATTCCTGAGACGGATTAATACTTTTCCCTCTTCTTCGCCACCCTTTCTTTCCCTAATTTTCCTTACCTTATTCCTTTAACCTCTTCCTCTTCCTCTTTCCACCATATTTTCCCTGCCGCCTTTCCATTCCACTCCCCCCCCTCTCTTCCTCTTCCCCATCCTCCTTTCTACTGTCCTCATTCCCCTCTCCTCCTTCCTCCCCTCCCCACTTTCATGCAGTAATTACACTGAAATAATTCACAACGGGTTATTTACATAGATTTTTAAAATACTGCAGAACTTTACATAACGTTACGTGCAAAAGTTGTCTAGTGTCTACTGTAGCCAAAGAAGCAACCTATTAATACACATCTGTATATACTGTTCATACAAAACCACGGGGAGTTGAATGATAGCTCTAGGCCTTTCGTGTTGCAATCAACACATCAGGAGCTTGCAAGGCTGCAGGAAAGAGGAATTCCAAGCAGATAGGTTCAGAGGAAGCGTGTTTGCTCGAGCAAACACGCTTCCTCTGAACCTATCTGCTTGGATTCCTCCTTTTTCTGCAACCTTGCAAGCTCCTGATGTGTTGATTGCAATACCACAGACCTAGAGCTATCATTCAACTCCCCTCGTAGTTGTTTTGCATTTTGTATTGTTTATTCGCAATTATTGCATAACACTGTATATGTAAAGCACGAACATTAGACTGACACACACAGAGAGAGAGAGAGAGGAGAGAGAGAGAGAGAGAGAGAGAGAGAGAGAGCAAGCTAGATAACTCACATCTGACTTAAGGTTCCCTCATGAGAACGCCAGTTTCCAAGAATAATTATTATTATAGGATACTGAGACAAGTTTCTCGGGTATTATTAAAAAAAAAAAGTCTACATCTCCGTGCCAGTAGCTGAAACAAGCAAGGTAAGTTGTAAGACTAGAAGACTACAGAAACACACACAAAAGCAGATCCGCTGGTTAAAAGTAATAATAAGAGGTAGTGGTGGGAAAGGGGGGAGGGTCAGTGGACATGCAGCAGCAGACAAGAGAAACGGCAAAAATGAGTAATACTTCCCAGAATATTAAAATATGCTATATTAAGGTGCCATCTTGACCACGTTCTGTGCTACGTGAATACCCGAGCTGGTCTGTCTCTAACACTGTTCACCCAAACACCTCAGTCATGTATATAGCTTTTACTGTTTGTTAATTTTTTATTCGTTTTAGTGTGTGTGTGTGATTTATATTATAAAGTTTTGATGGGCACGATCTAAAAACTCAGTTCTCGATAAATACCCCAGTTACTACTACTACTACTACTACTACTACTACTACTACTACTACTACTACTACTACTTAAACAGTTTTAAAAGCTTGAAAGGTTCTCATGTTATAAAGGAACATTCTCGTGGTCAGCCTAGGTGCAGTGACCAAGCCATGATGGAGTCCTTACGTCAGTGACCAAGCCATGATGGAGTCCTCCCGTCAGTGACCAAGCCATGAAGGAGTCCTCACGTCAGTGACCAAGCCATGAAGGAGTCCTCACGTCAGTGACCAAGCCATGAAGGAGTCCTCACGTCAGTGACCAAGCCATGAAGGAGTCCTCACGTCAGTGACCAAGCCATGATGGAGTCCTCACGTCAGTGACCAAGCCATGATGGAGTCCTCACGTCAGTGACCAAGCCATGATGAAGTCCTCACGTCAGTGACCAAGCCATGATGGAGTCCTCACGTCAGTAACCAAGCCATGATGGAGGCCTCACGTCAGTGACAAAGCCATGATGGAGGCCTCACGTCAGTGACAAAGCCATGATGGAGGCCTCACGTCAGTGACAAAGCCATGATGGAGGCCTCACGTCAGTGACAAAGCCATGATGAAGGCCTCACGTCAGTGACAAAGCCATGATGGAGGCCTCACGTCAGTGACCAAGCCATGAAGGAGCCCTCACGTCTTATCACATAACCTAATAAACTCAGTCGTTTTGTCACGTTACCTCCAACGTTAAGTCATATTTACGAATCAGTGCCAGGAGCTGAAACTTAATCCTAGTAAACACAACTACGAATAGTGTTTGGTAAGGATGATCAACTAAAAAGAGAAAACTCAGTAATGTCTCGGTGTTCACTTTGCTTGTGACCGCACCAGGCAGACTGACTGATAATGTAATCAACACCTTCCTACAGTGTCTCTCTCCCGATTAGCGAACAGAGGATCGAGCCTCCAGGAGTTTAGTACTCTACACACACACACACACCTACAGACAATACCTTTATGATTTTGATATATTTTTGATGAGTTTCTAGAGTCTTTCTGCTTCCAGGGCCATGGGCCAGGCTCGTCTGTTTGCCTGGTCAACCAGGCTGTTGCTGCTGGTGGACCACTGCCTCACATATCCATCATAGCCTGGCTGATCTGGCACATTGACACTAACAGCGACACGGTCAGTTCAGATTATGTGGCAGATTAATAGTAACACTGATGACTTAATACATTATTGACAAACAAGAAAACATGGAAAGTGTTATAAGCTATACATACATGTATGTGTTAGTGACACACCAGTGACACACCAGTGACACACCAGTGACACACCAGTGACACACCAGTGACACACCAGTGACACAACAGTGACACACCAGTGACACAACAGTGACACACCAGTGACACACCAGTGACAGACCAGCGACACACCAGCGACACACGTGACAACAGTGACACAAGTGACACACCAGTGACACACCAGTGACACACCAGTGACACACCAGTGACACACCAGTGACACACCAGTGACACAACAGTGACACACCAGTGACACACCAGTGACAGACCAGTGACAGACCAGCGACACACCAGCGACACACGTGACAACAGTGACACAAGTGACACACCAGTGACACACCAGTGACACAACAGTGACACACCAGTGACACACCAGTGACACACCAGTGACACACTAGTGACACACCAGTGACACACCAGTGACACACCAGTGACACACTAGTGACACACCAGTGACACACCAGTGACACACTAGTGACACACTAGTGACACACTAGTGACACTAGTGACACACCAGTGACACAACAGTGACACACCAGTGACACAACAGTGACAGACCAGTGACACACAGCGACACACCAGTGACACAACAGTGACACACCAGTGACAACAGTGACACAAGTGACACACCAGTGACACACCAGTGACACACCAGTGACACACCAGTGACACACCAGTGAATGCGGTACTATAAACCAAGCGATCATGTCAAACTAAGAACGGTAATAATTCTACTAGAAAACAAAGTTTGAGGAAGTTGCCAAGTTTTAAGAAAACATAAAACCATAAACTTGAGTAATAAAACTTTAGCACAAAAAAACTGAGACCAGTATTCACACACCAACAACATAAAAACTGTATAATAAACTCCGGTAAAACAAGGCCACACGTGTGTGTGTGTGTGAGGCTTCGTGTATGGCTAGTGATAAGTGGAGGAGGCCTCGACTCCCCACCACTCCTTCACTCAATGACCCTTCAAGGGTTTAGCGCTTCACATAATGTTCTTATAGGGTACTTACCCATCAAGTGGAGTGTCTTGATGACTGTGAAGGGCTCTTGATCCAAAGAATTACAGCCACCCTCCTTTTCATTGACTTAAACATGATTGATTCCCTTTCTCCCCAGGAGCTGTATCACCCCCACGGGTTTAGCGTTACACATAAAACAAAAAAAAAATAAATTCTCCCATGGACTAAACCCGAAGGCCTCCCATTTCTCATGAGCTATAGAATCCCAACGGGTTTAGAGCTTCCCCCTCCGATTAAAATATGTACATATAAAAAATCTGGAAGCAAGATGTGCGAGGGTACTTACTCTGTGTACAGTCTGGTCCAGCGAAGCCTGGGTGACACTGACACGACCCCAGGATACAGTCACCGTTGCCTGAGCAACCCCTGGGACACCCCTCAGTGAACTCTGAGGACACGTCCCCTGTCAGTGTCACCTCCTGAGGGTCACCGTCGTCGTTGTAGAGACTGAGGAACCAGTGACCTTGCTCCAGGTACTTGGTCATCGTCTGAGGCTGTGACGGCGCCTGTAAACAAACACATTTACAACAATATTAATTGTTTACAACTGTAACTAAAGAATTAGTGAATTACACACATGTACAACATCTGGGTATCTTTATTGTAGACTTTTCGCCATCCATTGGCTTTATCAATCCAAATTCAAGGTCATAATGGGAAGACTGTAGAACTATATATAAAAGATGAGGTAATCAGTCCCTCAGCCTTGGAGTCGGTGAAGAGCATCGTAGTCTTCAAGGCTAAGGGACTGATTACATCATCTCTTCCACATAGTTCTACAGTCTTCCCATTATGTTCTTGAATTTGTATTTATAAAGCCACTGGATGGCGACATGTCTACAATAAAGATACCTAGATGTTGCACATGTGTCTAATTCTTCATCTTGTCGGTACTGTAAACCATACATGTACAGAGAATTACACAGTAATAATCAACACTTACCACTAGCATTGTTATTATTAGTAGTAGTATATACCTTCGAGTTTCGAGAGTCTTTCTACTCCCGGAGCCCAACCATGGGCCAGGCTCGTAGTAGTAATTATTTCACAGAGCAACCTTATTATTGCAGGTTCTTGCGCCGGCAATAATTTGTGGAATAGAATACATTCTTAAAACCACTAAGCTTTTGTCTTTTAATAATCTGAAACCTTTAAATCTAATCACAGATTTGTTTTATTGCGGATTGTTGGTGTATTTGAGGTGAGTGAGGCGGATGGTGTGAGCAGACATAACACCATGTGAGGTGAAGCTTTGCCAGGTCTACCCAGCCTCTGTAGCCGTTCCTTATAGTATACCTGGAGGGTGTTTCGGGGGGGTCAACGCCCCCGCGGCCTGGTCCATGACCTGAAACATTTTTTTAACCAAAATTGGATGCATCAGCAGTGTGCTGCTGCTATTCTGATATTTTTTTTGTCTGTTTCCACTGTTTAGGGAGAAAGAAGGGGGAAGAAGGAACAGGTGAATGGGAAAATGAATATGGGAGAGGGGTTAGGTGGAAGAAAAGGGAGGGAAGGTGGAATGGGAAGAGGTGGGTAGAGGGTAAAATGAAGGATAGAAAGGAAGGAACAGAGGTTTAAATGGAAGAAAGATGTATTGATTTTTCTTTATATATAATAACTGACGACTACATTGTGACATATAAAGTACAGTATCAGGAGGAAGTATAAGTATCAGGAGAAAGTATAAGTATCAGAAAGTATATAATTATCAGGAGGAAACCAAAACAATATATAAATTAATAACATTGAAGGTGTCAGAAGCAAGATTGACTGTATAATGAGAACAAAAACAACGAGATACTGTATAAATAAATACCAAGCAAGGACGAGGATAATCAACGTCAAGAATAAATAAAGTGAAAGAAATACGGGAATAAGAAGGAATACGAAGGAGATGATATTATAAAAGAAATTCTTAGGGGAGGAAGATAGATGGTGTAATATAAGAGTGGGCGATAAAGGCGTAGAGTGAGTGAGTCCTGCCAGAGTGCCAACACCAGTCACTACCTGGCACTGTTGACCTGCCCTTACCTGGCACTGGTGACCTGCCCTCAGTGCCCACACCATTCACTACCCGGGACTGGTGACCTGCCCTCAGTGCCAACATGTGACACCACTAGGCTTGAGTGTATTTCTTATGTAAATCCGCCTGCCCACCAAATTCCCACCCATTTACATAATTTACCTCACATCTGCCCAAATGGTCATGATTTTGTTCGTGGACTCTCAGCACCTCACCACCATCCTACACTTTCATATATCACTATATAATGACACTATCATTTTATATCACTATATACTTTATGACTATAAAGGCACTATATATATTTGTAGATGTCTGTGTATGAGATCACAATACACACTTTATACGACTTTATTTATATATAAAGACACTAATTTTTTTGTAAAATCGAACCCAGTTATATCTATCATAATAAATTACGTTGAATGTATATTTTTATTATTATTCTATTATTATATTCATACGGGATGGGGTGGGGAGATAGATGTATGAACACGCAACTTGTGAGTTGATTCACTCTGCATGTGAATGTGAGGGAGTGAGAGAGCTATCTCATTCTGCTTCCTCCATCATTACTCTCTTTCCAGTCTTACCTAACTACCATTTAAATCTACCCATTATCTTCGCTAACTGCGTCTCATCACTCCCTCTACATTCTTTGCCCTCACCCCTCAACTCTTCCTTCCTCTACCATCCTCTCTTTATCTCTCACCTCCATCCCCCTCCCCCCTGCCCCGCCCCTCACTACAACCTTCACCGATTTCTCTCCCACCTTGAAAGCTTCAATAGTGGGAAATGGCAACCTAACAGTCCTCTTTCCTATTCTGTCGCTGAAGATGGCAAGTAGGACAATTTAGGATGGCAAGTAGGAGATTTTTAGGATGGCAAGTAGGAGATTTTAGGATGGCAAGTAGATGATCTAAGGATGGCAAGTAGGAGATTTTAGGATGGCAAGTAGGAGATCTAAGGATGGCAAGTAGGAGATGTTAGGATGGCAAGTAGAAGATCTTAGGATGGCAAGCAAGAGACCTCAGGATGGAAAGCAGGAGACGACCTTAGGATGTCGGAAACTTCAACCTCGGAAGGATGCAGGATGAAATTTGGTTTATCTAGCTTTGGCGAGGCTGAGTTTAATCAGGTCTGGCCAGGATAGGTTTAACTCTGTTAAAATGTAGTATCTTCTTCAGGTAATTAGGCTAGGTTAGGTGTGGCTGCTGGTTGACTGGATGAGGCCAAGAATCTACCTGCTGAGATTAAATTATTTTGTGGGACCGAGGCAGCGACCTGCCCGGGTTACCTGACGGCCCAGGTGTTTTATACAAGTTATGAGTGAGAAGTTTGTGAAGGAGAGTGGCTGGGTGTGGTGGTAATGGTGAGGGAGAGTGGCTGGGTGCGGTGGTAATGGTGAGGGAGAGAGGCTGGGTGCGGTGAGTGGCTGGGTGCGGTGGTAATGGTGAAGGACAGTGCTGCGTATTGTGGTTGAGAAAGAAGTCAGGAGTGAGGATTGTGGTTGAGAAAGATGTCAGGAATGAGGATAAGTCAAAAATGAAAACACACAGAATAAAAACCTCCCTTGTCCCTTGACCAGAGAGAGAGAGAGAGAGAGAGAGAGAGAGACAGACAGACAGACAGAGACAGACAGACAGACACAGACTCACCTTGGAGGCCCTGGTCGTGCGTCCCGTGCCAGTCTTGTAGCCAGAGAGGACCTGAAGAAAGTCGTAGGAGGTGTGGGTGGGTAGGGCGTTCCTGCGGCCGTACACGCCTATGGACGAACCCCGCGGGATGGAGACATCAAACCTGACGTAGGCAGACTCGGACTGGTAAAACTGCATGTTCCAGTACCCGTAAGGGGGAATCACGTCCACCAGTTGCTCTCCCAGTTCCATCATCTTGAAGGTCGTCCCATCCGGAGGTATTGTCTTCTGCGGCCGATTCTTGTGGTCTGAAAGAACGACCCGTCTAGGTGAGCATAGTTACCACGACTCTAGTTCCTGACGGAGGGTCGTGCCTCCACCACACAGGTTTAGCCTCACACACAAAATAAATATGGGTTGAAATGATCGTGTCAACACCGGCAGTGAGATCACTCAAAAGTTGAACTAAATATTCCTATCATTATTAAGACACTGTTATTATTTAATAATAATTGAACCCAACATTTATATAGCATATTAGAGAAACACTAAAATAGGTTGACTACGTTGTTTATAATCTCTCTCAAAAATATCTCGGCTCAATGTGCAACAAACGTCTCAATATAGGTTGTGGCAACCAACGTTTCAACTGAATGTAGCAATGAATGCATCAGTTTAGGTTGTGGGTAAACTCCAGGTATACAACCTACGTGTTATTTCAGATTGTTTAGTGATTCCCAGTAATACTGTGAACTGGGTAGTGGCTGTCTAGCCACGTTGGCATGAAAGCGCCTTGTTTAGGTAACGTTCACCAACGTAAAAAGTAATGCTTTTAGAAGTGATTAAATACTTCCATGCAGAAAGACAAACACTACAGATAAACCTTCAACCACGTTTGCATTTTAACGTTTTCACACCAAACTCGTAACACACTAACATTTTGAAAATACAATTGAGAGTGAAACGTACTGATTATCATTAAATTGATGTTTAAACCAAGAGTTATAAGGAGTTAAAAGTAACCAGGACTTACGTTTCTAGTAAATTATTATAATCAAAAAGAAGCGCTAAACCACAAGGGCTATTTTCTAGTAAACATAATCGTTCCAAACCGATTTTAGATATTTTTTTCGAATCCAACAATTGTTGTGAGAGGTCGCTCCACCATGTTTATTTACCAAAAGTGGATACACAAGCAGTTTGCTGGCACCATATATTATATGATCAGTTATATAGTGGGAATAAAGGTTTCCCTATCATATTCCATCACGCTGGATGAGGCCCATACGAGGTGATGAAAGCAGCCTTGAGTCGGGAGACTTGGTAGGACGATGAGGTTGTCTTCAAGTATGCTATTATGTGTTCATCAGCTACTGGAGCTTTAAAAGTTTCATTCCACAAAGTTGAAGTTACTATAACTTGAATTACCATCTCTCAGGATAGTCTATTCCACACAGTCTCTCCGTCACTGTTTTCAGGAGAGATGGAGAAGGAAGGGAGGCGTGTCCTAGTCCAGTGGTCGACACGAAGTAGAGGGGTGGATGGAGGGAGGAGCCAGGCTAGACCAGTGTTCCATCCCAGAAACTTGACCTAAAGTTTTAATAGCTATTTGTTTTCTGGGAAGATTCCGCCGAGGATCGCGACGAAGCCGGAGTTATCATAGAATATAAATCATAAACTAAATTGTTAGGGAGGTGGGAGGTAAAGGCAAGTTATACTGGGTAGGCGGGACGGGGTAAAAGGGGATAGATAAAAGTTACACTGTTACTTGGAAATTAAACTGGATAGAAATTACAATGAGAAATTTTCAGCAATGGCGTCGAACTGGAAAATGGTGTTACCAAGTATGACCGAGAGGAATTGCAGAGCAACTCTTTATTCATGACTTTATAAAGCTCAAACTGGGAGGAGCGTTGTCAGAATAGATTTTCTTTGGAAACTCTTTACCACACCGGTTTCTCCACTGATGATCTCAGTGTAACGTAGGAACGTACACACCAAACCTTTTCACCCTCATTACTTGCATCAACTTGGTCTCAACAACCAACAAAGGAACGTTAAGGAACTGAACCTGACGACCCTTGCGGGGAGAAGGAATGCGAGACACGATTATCAGTTAGTGACCGTTAAGTAGTAAGAACGGTTGCTCTACGAGTCGACAGTTGACCCGGTGATACAAGAGATGACCCGTGTGATGCAGCCGACTGGGCATGCCTCGGGCACCTTTGATTCCTAATAATACCCTCGGGACGCTAGTTCAAAATTGGACACGAACGATGACATGTCATGGGCTGGTGGACTCTAATACATTTTCCCTCAATAAACGCAAGCAAAGCGGCTGTGTATCATTTCCAAGACCCCTTGCACACTATAACTCACTATAAGAATTACCGTGTGCAAAATGCTAAGAGGGACACAGCGGGGTAAATAAACATAAAACAGTGATGTTAGGAAGTATTTTAGTATCAAAGTGGTTGAAAAGTAGAATTGAAATGGACGAGAGAATGGTGAAAGTAAACTCGGTGCAGCCTGTGTAGAGGCTAGAACACATTAGAGTGCAGACTGTCTAGGAGAAAAGGTGGAAAGAGGAAAACTGGGAAGAAAAGTGGAAAGGAACAGGAGGAAGAGGAAGCGGCCCAGTGACAGTAGTTATCCCTCTGAGGTAACGTAATGACCACTCCCCTGTCAGCTAAGGAAGACCATTAAGGCTAGACAGTGAGAGAGAACCATAGAGCTGGTAAAGATTAGGGGTAGGAAGAGGGAATACAAGAGGAGCAACTGCGACGCACACTGACCTTTGACCTAGTGACACTAGGTGACCTTTTTCCCAGTGACACTGCGACCTCTGACTCAGTGACATTTATCGTCACCTTTCACCTGATGACTTTAAACGTGAGCATCATAGCGGAGTACCTATGGTATACCTCTGATTGGTTTTCAGGGTTCTTGTACTTTAGAAACCCAAAGAGACGACTCGCATTTACTTGATCAATCCGACTGCTGGTGTCAGTGGCCCTCCAGCCCTGCGCAGTACTTGTTTCAGGAAGAAGTCTACCTGGAGAGTATTCCAAGGAGTCAACGCCCCTCAAAAACTCTACTTTTTCTTCTAATATATAAAAAAAATCTAATATATATAGTTTACGACCGATACTCGGTCGATTTCATTTATTAATTCTAATCGAGATAGTATTATGTTGTACAAATGGCAAAAAAATGTAACTAACCCAACCTAAAACAACTAACGTAACGTAACCTAGCTTCCTGTATCGGTGTGGCGCGTCATTGTTTACACTGGACCAGGGAAGGCGTGACACCACTCAATGCTAAGTGCTCATTGGCTCGCGTGATGCACCACCATGATGTGCCATTTCCGCTAATATCTCTCATATCAACAATCTGCACAAGAAATGTAAACACTTATTCCTTGGTGTACATAGACTGCATGTATTGGGAGACGCAAACTAAGGCCAGAGTTATGCATAGTAGTAGTAATAATAATAATAATAGTAGTAGTAATAATAATAATAGTAATAGTAGCGCAAAAGAAATTAATGACTGACTATTCCGTAGCTAAATAATGGGACACCTTCTTAACGAAACTGAAAATACAAATCTTGAGGATATGTATAAAAAATTCCCAACTGAAACAATAGAATGATGAAAAAAATAGTAATAACGAAATGGAAAAAAAATTGAGTTGGATTTGTTTTTCAACGTTGTGACTTCCAGGAAGGTGCCAGAATGGTACCCAATTGGCTTTGTCATCCATGGATATGGTACTGACACATCCTCCCCTACCTCTCTCCATAGGATCTAACCTGACTGGCCCCGAGTCATGGGCACGGTACGACCCTCTACGGGATGAGCATTTACCCGTAATTATAGCGATTTGTTGTTAAAGACGTATTAAAATTTATTTACACTAGGAGAGAGAGAGAGAGAGAGAGAGAGAGAGGGAGGGGGGGTTGGCACCCGGACTCGATTCTTAGCGTGAGAGTTATGGTGGCACTTGTTACCATTATTACTGTGGCACCAGGGTCGCCCACCCCAAAAAATGATGTGCGCCTCTGTAAACAAGGTTAAATGAGTTGACTTGGATACTGGAAGCATCAGCCACTCTGACACTGCTGGGAGGTTGTAACTCTCAGCCACTCTGACACTGCTGGGAGGTTGTAACTCTCAGCCACTCTGACACTGCTGGGAGGTTGTAACTCTCAGCCACTCTGACACTGCTGGGAGGTTGTAACTCTCAGCCACTCTGACACTGCTGGGAGGTTGTAACTCTCAGCCACTCTGACACTGCTGGGAGGTTGTAACTCTCAACCACTCTGACACTGCTGGGAGGTTGTAACTCTCAACCACTCTGACACTGCTGGGAGGTTGTAACTCTCAACCACTCTGACACTGCTGGGAGGTTGGTGGCCTGGTGGTTAACGCTCTCGCTTCACACGGTGAGGGCCTGGGTTCGATTCCCAGCCAGAGTAGAAACATTGGACGTGTTTCTTTCAACCTGTTGTCTATGTTCCCCATCAGTAAAATGGGTACCTAGGTGTTAGTCGACTGGTGTGGGTCGCATCCTGGGACACTGACCTAAGGAGGCCTGGTCACAGACCGGGCCGCGGGGGCGTTGACCCCCGGAACTCTCTCCAGGTAAACACACTGACACTGCTGGGAGGTTGTAACTCTCAGCCACTCTGACACTGCTGGGAGGTTGTAACTCTCAGCCACTCTGACACTACTGGGAGGTTGTAACTCTCAGCCGCAATTACACTGCTGGGAGGTTGTAACTCTTAGCCACCTATGATGTATCTTGCCTGGTCAACCAGGCTGTTGCTACTGGCGGCCTGCTGGCCCTCACATCCATCTCAGGCTTGTTGATCTGGCACTTGATGGAGATACTTATCCAATTTCCTCTTGAAGACTTCCACAATTGTCCCAGCAGTATTTCTGATATCTTCTGATAAGATGTTGAATAGTCTGGGGCCAGGGATGTTGATACAATGTTTTCTTATTGTGCCCACTGTGTCCCTGCTCTTTACTGGGTTTATCCTGCACTTCCTCCCATATCTCTCACTCCAGTATGTTATGGCAGTGTGCAGATTTGAGACAAGGCCCTCAAGTACTTTCCACATGACCAAAAGCTCTAACGGCGGGTCATCATCTGATTAAGACCCGCATCAGGAGGAAACACTTGTCCTGTTTCCTTACGAATCTTACCTAACCACTTGTCTCTCCTCCACTCCGGTGAGTACATATTTAGGACTTTCAGGAGTTCAAAGCAATTTAAATGCTTTATTGGCTCTGTGCGGGCCGTAAATTATCTCTATCTGTTTTAACTCTGATATTTCTTCTGCCCTGAACGAGGCCGTCAACACTGAACAATATTCAAAAAGAGAGCACAAGCAATTTGAAGTGTCACCATAGCTAGTTTAACATCTTTATTATGCACCCTACACTCATCCCGTGGGCGGTAGATAAAACATTACAGAGGTATATAATGTGCCCAGGGACTGGGCCGCAAAGTTTTGAGAGAACAAGTTGCAGTGGTAATAAATTATTTACATGTTTATATCCTGTCACAATCGTAATGAGTTATTGGCGCTTGTTTTGAAAGTTGTCATTATCCACCCCATCATCTTCCTTGCTGTTCTGACATTTTCCATATTGTGTTCTTTGAATGAAATATCAAGTGACACAATTACTCCTAAGTCTTTCTCGTGTGTTCCTTTCGCTCTATTTGATGATCCTCTTGAGTTTCGTATACAGTGGGATGCTGTAACTCTTAGCCTCTCTGACAGCTGCTGTTGTTGCAAGGTTATAACCCTCAGCCTCTTCCACCCCCCGCACGCACGCACGCACGCGCGCGCGCGCACACACACACACACACACACACACACACACACACACACACACACACACACACGCGCGCGCGCGTATTCAGCATATATATAATATTATATATATATGCCGAATAGGTAAAACTGGTCAATTAGCTAGAACTCGTTTAAAATGAAGTCCTTTCTATAATTTTCTCTTATACGTTTAAAGATAATTCTCTATCCAAAGAACCTTAAAAAAATTACCTAACCTTATTATAACAAGCACAATTTAACTTAGTCTAATCCAACTAAATATATTTTAGGTAATCTTACATATTTTAATAAACACGATGAAATATATTGTTTCGTTAGCTTCAGAATGATTTTTGAGAAATTATTGCATACACAAATTTTCGCTTGCCTTATTCAGCAAGAAGAGCGTTGCTATTTAAGCCAAAATAGCAAGTTTTACCTATTCGGCACCTCCTCCCATATATATATATATATATATATATATATATAATATATATATATATATTATATATATATAATATATATATTATATATTAATCATCAGTGAAGAGTGGGCGATCGGCTGGGGAGTAAATTAATGAGTTCATTTTCTCTATTAAGTCATATATCACACAACAAAGGCCTGAGGCAGGTGGCTGCTCTGTTGGGGACAGGGAGGAGGGAAGAATGGGGGGAAGGAGTAGAGAGGGGAGGGAGAAAAGAGGAGGAAAGGGTGTGTGCACGAAAGAGGTAGGAAGAGAGATTCGAGAGAAAAAGATAAACAGATGACCGACGTCGTGGGGAGTAAGAAGGGTGAAAAGGAAGTAGCACAGTGAGAAGGGACAAGAAAGGATATACTCAGACTGTATAAATGGCTACGGAAGAAAAGAAGGGAGGTTACCTGGAGGTTATTCTGGGGATCAACGCCCCCGCGGCCCGGTCCATGACCAGGCCTCCCGATGGATCAGGGCCTGATCAACTAGGCTGTTACTGCTGGCCGCACGCAGTCCGACTTGCGAGAGGAAAAGAAATAAAAGGCGAAGGGAGGGAAGGAAAGATATATATTTAACTTTCTAACAAATGGAGCCCAAAGAATAACAGTGAAAACCTCGGTTCCTCAAGGCACAGTTCCCGCCCAATTTCTCTCACATCTGACATAGACGCACAAATCATAGCACTGTATCACCTCGGCAAATATTATTAGAATCTGCCTGAGAGTAGCATCCACTGGCGGCACCGCAAATCTCCATGTTGATATTAACTGATTTTCCAGCGGCTCACAGACAACCACAGAATGCTTACTGAGGATAAATTTCAGTTAATCTGCTTTTAAAAATTTAAGGAAATAAAAACAAACTCAAACCACTCAACAGAGTGGAAGATTAATGTAATGAACTTAAGTGTCATACTGTCGGTAGATCACGACAGTATTACTCTTACGGTCGCAAGGAAAGTGATAGGCTGGAGAAAAAGAGCTTTGAAAACAAGAGATACCAAGCCAATGTTGATATTCTTCACCGAAATGCAGGAGAGAAAGATAAATCTTAATTAACACTGGAAAACTATGGAGGACTTGGTCCCAAAACTAAACACTATCGTTGAGGGCGCATTGAGTACCCCTTCCCATGGGTGTTTTCAAAAGGGAACTATACAAGTTCTAGTTCCGTATCAGCTGGGCTGTGGTGCCTATCTGGAGGTTTATCTGGAGAGAGTTCCGGGGATCAACGCCCCCGCGGCCCGGTCTGTGACCAGGCCTCCTTAGGTCAGTGTCCCAGGATGCGACCCACACCAGTCGACTAACACCCAGGTACCCATTTTACTGATGGGGAACATAGACAACAGGTGGAAAGAAACACGTCCAATGTTTCTACTCTGGCTGGGAATCGAACCCAGGCCCTCACCGTGTGAAGCGAGAGCGTTAACCACCAGGCCACCAGAGCCCTGGTGGCCTTTTTTTTAGTACCAATAGCCTGCATGTGTTTAGGCTGTGAACCGGGAGGCCTGGTTTGGAACCATGCTGCGGGGGTGGGGGGAACCCCTCCAATTGGCTCCAAGTAAACTTCACATGTGTGTGTGTGTGTGTGTGTGTACATAAAGCTGGTCCAGACATGGTGAAACTCCAGCCTCCATCACCGCCTCTCCAGTACACGTCTACAACTCCTAGTTCGTCTCAGGCAAGTTACCTGGTTTAAACACTAAAAATATATTGAAATCTGCAACTGAAAGCATATTAGGGGTTGACTGCTGTTACGATGCAAATTGTGAAAGCTACGACAAAAAAAATTCATGCAGTAAAAAGGTGTCAATATAACATTAACTATAAGCTACAATTAGGTATTATTAAAAAGTAATGGTTAATATAAATATCAACTAAAGAAAAAATGGAAACTGAACTAAAAGAACATTATCAATATGCAAAACACAGGCAAAAATTAAATCAAAGCTTTTTTTTCATGCAAAAAAAATATGAATTAAAAATCATTCGAATGCGCGATTAAAACAAATATTTGGCATTAATGGAACATACTTGCTACTGTCCAGGTGATGACCAGAGATAACCAGGTGATGACCAGAGAGATTACCAGAGATAACCAGGTGATGATGCTCACTGTATACACTCCTCACACACAAGATTTTTACACTGGATCACCTAGGTTGTGGTGTCTACGATGGATTGCATACAACTACCACGAACAACCTAATAGATCAGGCCAACAATTGGGAGGCCTTGTCTGGGACCTGACTGCAAGGTAACAGATTCCTGGAACCCTCTCCAGGTCACAGGTAAAAGCCACCCTGCAGTTTTCTGCTACCAAGATATGTCAAGACGACGTGCAGTGAACCTATGGCACTCTTGGGTATCCCTCGCGAGGTGCAACATGCATAACAGTATCTGTATGCTAGAATTATTATTAATCTAAGGAATTACTCTGCTGCAGCCAGACGTGAGAGAGAGCATCGAGGCCCTTATGGTTTCGGCTCTAGCTATTTATTTATAGTTTTGTGTGTGTTTAAAGTGTATATAATTGACCATAACTCGAGAGCTCTTAGTATAACACTGACTCTGGGCTACCGCCCAGCACAGTGCATGTTAAAGGGATCGAAGCACTTGCACACAAATTAAAAATTTTGAGATCATGTTAATATTAATTCGAGACGCCTAATGTTATTAACAAGTACAGTTTCAAGACGTCATGTCTAATTACCATATGAATCTTTCCTAGATGTAAAACAAAAAATCAACATTTCACTTCTCGTCTCTCAATGGCCCTCACCTGGCGGCGGATTAGTTAATCGTTCAGGTTCCATTCTGTGGACAACGAGCAAATTTGATCTCACCTTTTAGTTGCTCCTCCACCCATGGCGGGAGTTGGGGTGGGGCTGTGGTGGGGGCAGAAACCTCCACACCACAGCCTTTAGGGGCTAAGGTCTGGGAGTCAGCATCGTCAGAGGAAAGAGATCCTGTCTCAGTACTTGGGGTGTCTGTCTTGTGTGTGTCTGGGAGGAAATTAGGGGGAATTGGAATGGAGTTAATGCGTGAGCTGCTGCTGTCACTGCAGGGGCAGGGGCACTGACACCTCCCTGCTTCTTTCGGCCCAGATATCCGGTTGACACTGCCTATCGGCGAAAGCATGTCTGATCCCATACGTTGAATATTTTCAACCGGATTATTATTCTGATTGTGGATGTCGTGGGTCTTATTACCTAAAATAGTAAGAGAGAGGGAAGCAATCTGTTGTTGTTCATCTGGCTCGACCAAGGTGATGTCTGCTTCCTGGTCTTTTCCTGAAGTAGGTACTGACACAGACAACACGTACAGGGGTTTCTTGGCAATAATACCTCCATCGGACATCTGAGACTCTCCTTCTGTTTCAATAGTGACGTTGACAGTGACTCGCTTCGAGTGTCTAGCGCTGCTCGGGACGAGGTGTCTGAGGTCGGACACCTGAGGTGACCTGTTTGAACGATGCGTCTGCTTGGTAGCAGAGGACACCTGAGAATCTAAATCCTTGCCTCTGGAACTATACTCTACTGAAGTCTTGAGCTCCCTAGGATGCTCCTGTGCTGGAGGCTCCGAGTTAATAGGTTTCTCTGGAGTTTCAGCTTCCTGCTCTCTCTCTGCTACGTTGATATGGTTACTCTCCTTTATCTGGGAACTCCAGCCAGTTGCTATCGAGGCTTCCTTGTTTCGCGAAGTGGCCGAACTCTCGGTCTGGTTTACACTAGCATGGTATCTTGGATCAATCGGTGAGGAAGAAGCTGCCGGCTGCGCGAACGGCAAAACCTCTGCTATAACAGCAGGGTTCGGGGCCTCTGTCGTCTTCACATTATAATCGCTATATATGCTCCTAGGCAAGGAAGGATTTTGTCCCGTTTTGTGCATCAGGAATTTTGGAATTTTTTTATTGGAATCACTCCAATGAGAAAATTCTGAACTGCGGTAATGCTGGGAAATGCTTTCAGGGGTTGGCATGAACTTGGCGGCTTGTAGTGGAACAGAGGCTTTGGGTTGTCCTAGCGACGGGTCAAGCACAAGTGAAGGTGCAGGTGCTGGCACATCTGTGGTGATGGGAGCAGGGGTTGGAGGTCGTGTTGATGGTACGTTAGTGGTGGTTTTCACACCTCTCTCTGTAGTTGTAGTTTCCCGTCCGCCCTGTTTGTTGTTGGTCGGCGAGTAATTTGGTCCATTTTCAAAGGAGACGGCAGAACCAACCTTAGAGTAGAGCGGCACTACTTCAATCTCCAGCACCTCGTCCTGACCTTCGGGAAGTGCTTTCACTTGGGGCTCGGGGATAGCGATGTGGAACTCCTCCTTCGTGAGAGACAAGGCTCTAAGCCCCGGTGGGTAATGAGTGGCGCTGATGGGAGCACTAGTGGTTGGTTGCATCTGCAGTCGCTCCGGCATCGAGTTAAGGGTCACCACCATCTTGGGGTCTCGATAGCCTGCCTTAGCCTTACCTACGTTATCTTCCGTATCGAGAATCACGTCGTCAGACTCTTCTTCCTCGGTTACATCTTCCAAGCCAGTCTTATCTTTTTGTGCACGACCATTATTTTCGGAATAGTCGTCGAAATAATAATAATTTACTTCGTCATCATAGTAGTAGTCATCGTGTTCGTTGAGGTCGTAATCAAAAATGTGTGGGAATACATCTTTTGCCATTCTGGAGCCTTTGTAGGCGTCTGTTTCGTTATCCCCACCTCCACTAATATTCTTTTGAGACTTGGAGTCCTGGAAGTGTGGCACGCCTAGAGATTCTAAGATCTTGGAGGGAAAGCTGCGGGGGTCTGACTGGGGAATAGGACCTCCCTGTGGATCGTTAGGATCGAAGGACAACTTTCCATCTCCATAGCCTTGTGCCGCCGAGCGCCTCATCAACCTCTTGTCATCTTCTGCAGAATCTTCATCGATTGGATCACCAGCGTCATCTGTACTTTGCCTTGTGTCTCTGCCGTACCTGGAGAACCAAGTATCCACGGATGACATGGCTCTATGTGGATTAATCTTCCTGGTCCTCGATGACGAGGTTTTGTCAGTTTTATTACTCCCAGAAGTCGAGGCAGACGGCCTTGAGAACCAGGTAGCACCTGGTACTATGGTGTTCCCCGATGACTTCCGCTCTGCTTGCGTGTCTGAATCAGCCTCGGGAGCCACATAAGTCTCCAGTGTGGGGAATGATGCCATCCATGACCTGAGTGGTATGTTACGGCGCTTCAGCTTCGTCTTGTCCAGACCGGTGCTGGGTTCACCTGGAAAATGACTTCTGTGAGATGAGTACGCTGACGGGTCATCACCAAGCATGGCGTCGTAGGGATCCATATAGATCATGGATTCAGGAAAATGCTCTGGCGTATTATTACCCAAGTTAGTTACCAACAGTACGCTGGGTATGGCCTCGTACGCCTGTGGGTATTCTGTGGGCGGACGTTCAGTATCTTGCTCATACTCCACGAGCTTGGTGTCCTCGTTTTCGGGGTTGTGGCCATACACGTAGTCCGCCCCAGCCTTGACTTCCTCGCCACCTACGGCGTAGTCTTCCCCTCCGTCCCCAACAGTCTCACTGGTAGAGTTACTGTTAATAACTTCATCAGCGTCAGAATCATCACTATCAGTATCCACACCATCACTCTCAATGTCAACACCGTCACTGTCGACATCACCTACACTTTCAACCTCATCACTGTCGACATCGTCCCTAACGTCGACGTCATCACCCACATCAATATCACTGTCAGGCAGCTCACTGCCGGCTTCTCCATCAGAATATTCAACAACATCAATTACTGGATCAAAAACATCATCCGCTGGATCTGATTTCTCATGCAAGATTTTAGCCTGGCTGTCAATGGAAGTGTCACTGCCAGACACGCTGGGGTCGGCCCACTTTTCACTAGTCTTAAATTGCACACCGCCTTTTACTCGTGGCCTCTCCTCGCCACCGCTGTCTTCGTCCAATATTAAAGCTTCCCTGGGCTGGTTAGTCTTGCCAAATCTCAAAATCGAATCAAAGTGGTGTTCCTTAACCTTTACTGAGGAGCCTAGTGGGTATTTTTTGTCATGTGTGGGAATGTGAAGGGAGTTACTGGTTAAATGATCGTACTGGTGAGGGAAACTTGCGGATGCAACATTTAGATCCTCGGATCTGTCAGGATCACGACCTGCTGGGGCAAGGGTAGTGGGGTCGGCCGCCACATGGGCATGCGAGGAGCCCACAGCCATTCCAGACGGGGCATTTCTGTCATTATGGGTGTTGCTGGAAGGCGTCTGTGACGACGAGTGAGGTTGTGTAACTGGTGACGACGATAGGGGGTCGCGGCTGACGTGTGTGGGGGAGTTGGAGTCAGTACCAGGAGTAGTGAGAGTCTGTAACTCCGGGTGGTGAGACGTCTCTATGGGAGAGTCAGCTAGGGGGTAAGGAGAGTCTAAAATTGGAGTGTCAGAAGCGGGGAGGTCAGAGTTACGGGTGTCTGAAGCGGGGAGGTCAGAGTTACGAGTGTCTGAAGCTGGGCGGTCAGTGTTACGGGTGTCTGAAGCTTGAAGGTCAGGGTTAGGGGTGTCTGAAGCAGGGAGGTCAGGGTTAAGAGGGGTTGGAGATGGGTCATGGGAGGAGGGTGAGTGTGGCGAGTGAGTGCCCATGCTGGCAGGTGGTAGTAAATCATGCTGCACACTTCTACGCATGCGTCTGGGTGGGGCGCCAGGCCCCGGGGGCGCTGGCGCACCCTCCGGCAAGGGCTCAAAGACAAGGTAGAGCTGCTGAAGGGGTTCCACCGGGGAAGGCTGGCGAGTGTGGTGTGTGGCGAGCAGCGGGCGACTCAGGGGGTAGAAGGGGTTACCTCTAGATGCTGCCTGGCCAGGATGAACCTTGTCCGTGATGACTGTCTCCTCGTCTACCAACACCGCACAGCCACCGTGCGTCGACCACGCCAGACTGCTCGTAGCTGTAAACATAAAAAATATACGTTATACACAATGATATGCGTAGTTTACACGTTATACACAATTATATATGTAGTTTACACGTTGGGTTAGAAAGATACGCGAGCAAATTTTCCCTCTATTAAAATCTTGCTGTGGCATTTCTTTGGGTATAGGAACTAACACATTTTTCATATCTGCATATTTCCTTGGCATAATATTGACACATTTCAGTTATCTGTGCTGACGCCACCAGAGTGTATCCCCATCTCAAGCTTGTTTACACACCTTGTGGTTTGTGATACCCTCGTCCGCGGAGGATTCTCTATCGTTTTCCATGTCTTTTGACTGTCTTTCTTCCTCTGTGTATGTTTACTCGAGCTCTGTTGTTTCAATTCCTAGTTCTAGTGTTTCTTTCATTTTGATTACAAACTCACAGGACAAAACTTTACCTCAAAAGTAAAAATAAAACACTAAGAAGCACACACACAAAATGTATCACATGAATCTTAACTTGCATCATTTTGGAACAAAATAGAATAATTTTGAAAGATAACTCTTGAACTTTCCCGAGGGGGCTTTGGTAATTATATATATATATATATATATATATATATATATATATATATATATATAATATATATATATATATATATATATATATATATATATATATATAATCTTTCTTTCAACACACCGGCCGTATCCCACCGAGGTAGGGTGGCCCAAAAGGAAAAACGAAAGTTTCTCTTTTTAAATTTAGTAATTTATACAGAAGGGGTTACTAGCCTTTTACTCCTGGCATTTTAGTTGCCTCTTACAACACGCATAGCTTACGGTGGAAAAATTATGTTCCACTTCCCCATGGAAAATATATATATATATATAATATATATATATATATATATATATATATATATATATATAAACTAGCGAAAAGGTTGAAGCGAACGATTAAGATATTCTCTACAGTGACACTGTCAGCATAGTTGCGGATCCCCTGTACATGTTTGTGTAGCATATCCGAGTATCGTAGTTAGTACCATCTATATATTTTATATAGACGATCCCTTGCTAGGCCTAGGGGCTAGCATGTGACGTCACGTGATGCCACATGTGAGCGTCAGACGCCCTGCCCCTTTCTCAGTTCCCGGATAGACCTACAGGCGACTACAGGCAGGCTGGGCCTTCCCCTCACAACTGCTAATATAAGTGAATACAACCCAAGAAGTGTGTTTATCTCCATCCATCATATCTCCACGGAACCCTCCCAACAACACAAACAGGGGCTGGAGCACCCGTCAGGTGACTGTGGGTGAGGCGAGTGTGGCCCTATCCTCCGTCTACACACAATAGTCTCATAATAATACCGTTAAGTGAAAGAGGCGGGTCAGACACTAACATTCTGCTGAGCCATGTTTAACTTGTTGCTCGTCTGTAACAGAAGTGGTTGAGACAACTCCAGGACTCTCCAGAGTGCTTAGGATAATGCACCTAAGACAAGGAATTAGTAAAGCTGACATTGAGAAGAGGGGCCAGGAGCCATGAATCGACCCCTGAGACACGACTAGGCGAGCCAGCGCACACTACGAACACGTCAGCGATCAACGTCAACATCACTATTGTTTCATCAGAAATATGGAGTCACAGGACACACAAAATATCACAGTTTTGACAACTGCAATTCATGGAAGCCTTAGTAGAGTTGGCCTTCATGTTTGTACTTAATGTATGGACTTGGTTAGGAGGGGAGTAAGGGGTAGGAGGAAGAAAATATAGAAGGGAGGAAGAGGAGGAGGAAGACGACCAGGTGTCCCTGGTCTGGGACCGGGCTGCGGGAGCGATGACCCCCTGGGATCAATTACATGTAAACAAACCTGAATGACTAAGCCTTCTCTACAGCACGCAAACCCATGTACCTGCACAACATTTTCTCAAGCACAAATTACCCGCACATAGGACCGAAACGTCCTGATGTGCGGGTTATTTGTGTACTGTTCTAGTATTGTGCCTTTTCTGTTCTTTATTTTCTCGAGTAGCCAGTTGATTGTCCCATGGATTAGCCAGTTGACTGGCTAATCCATGGGACAGATATGCATATCAGACAGATATGCATATCAACCTCTACAACATAGTGTTTACAGGTTCTGTAATCTTAACACTCTAGACAGGAAAAAAAAAGATAGGTAAACTATGTCTGCCTTTCCTATGTATTCTCCTGTACAAGTACTTCAACTCCCCTGCTGAAAGTACTCAAGCGTTGGTTAAAAGGTATCCTACCTAACTTGGTAGGTAGGTAGACATTACGTACAGCTACTAAGTCATCCCTACCTCATCAACCCACCTCTAGTCTCCCCTCCAAACACCCCTCATCTTCTCTACATGACCCAACCCTTCCCTACCTCTGCTCACTCCTTATACCTGAGGGATGGTTTCGGGGCTCAACGTTCCCCTCGTCTACCTACCATTTCCCCACCCCTTCTGCTTCTCTTCCTCAGCATATTCTCCCCACGTCCCTAAATCCCCAGCCTCACATCTTCACACTTCCCCAGCCTAACATCTTCGCACCTCCCCAGCCTCACATCTTCACACCTCCCCAGCCCCACATCTTCACACCTCCCCAGTCTCACATCTTCACACCTCCCCAGCCCCACATCTTCACACCTCCCCAGCCTAACATCTTCGCACCTCCCCAGCCTAACATCTTCGCACCTCCCCAGCCTCACATCTTCCCACCTCCCCAGCCCCACATCTTCACACCTCCCCAGTCTCACATCTTCACACCTCCCCAGCCCCACATCTTCACACCTCCCCAGCCTAACATCTTCGCACCTCCCCAGCCTCACATCTTCACACCTCCCCAGCCCCACATCTTCACACCTCCCCAGTCTCACATCTTCACACCTTCCCAGCCCCACATCTTCACACCTCCCCAGCCCCACATCTTCACACCTCCCCAGCCCACATCTTCACACCTCCCCAGCCTCACATCTTCACACCTCCACCAACCCCCACACGCCCCCACCTGCCCCAACCCGCATCTTCACACGCCCCCACCTGCCCTGCACACTCGCACTAATCGTGTGCTCGTCATGTGAGCCTAATAATAAGCTATTTATATGCACCGTCCGCCATAACAGCGGCGTTATTCACCCGCCACACCTCCACCATTTTGCCAGCGACTAATGTGTAATTTTCAGGTTTTCACCTCAGCCCCTTACAGCCCTTGACTGTGTGTGTGTGTTTGTGTGAGTGGGAGGGGGGGGGGGTAGTGACTGTGGTGCTGCTGGTATTGCTGCTACTACAACTGCTGATTCTTTTGTTCAGGGCGGTGGCGATGGTAGTGGTGGTGGTACTGCTGCTGCTTTTGCCTCTCCTGCTGGTGGTGCTAGTGCTGCTTCTACTGCAGGTGTTTTTTGCTAGTGGTGGTGGAAACAGTGTTGGTAATACCAGTGCTGCCTCTCGCAAGAATAATCACTTTCTTCAGCCGGTGGAGAGTACCACTCCAGAGTGTGCTTCTCCAGCTGCCTGGCCAAACTACTTAGAACGTCTTAATTAGGCCTATGTCTTCTTTATCTTTAGGGAGAATTTGTCCAATAATATTTATCTTCTGACGTCCTTCAAGGAGCCTGTCCTTCCTAGACTCTTAAAGGAGTCATTTTTTTTCTTCATTTCCAATCTTAAGGAATCTTTTTTATTTCTTTCGACGCTCCTAGTTTTTTTTTTCTTCGCCAAGTCCTTAAAAGAGTCTTTCCTTCCATGTTTTCACAGTCTCCCTCTCCTTTAAAGGTACATTTACAGAAGACTTTCTTGGCAATGAATACTAATTTTTCAGCATCCTTTGAGATGGTAAAAGATTATGTTGCACTGATGTTGCAAAGTGTGGCAGACGTCGCCGACCACGACACTAATGGGGTGCCCACGAGGACCAAGACGACCCTCGAGGGCAGGGAAGGAGGGCAAGGGTGCTGCCAAACCCCTTTACCTCTCTTCCCTCTTGTATCTCCTGGATGGCCCAAGTGGGAGAGGTAAGGGAAGAGAAGTGGAGGAGGAGAGGAGAGGGAGAGGAGAGGGGGGGGGGGAGAAGAGAACATGTCTGGTCTCTTTGATGTATCTTAAATATAATATTCAACAAATTCCCGTGATATTTCCACTCCAGACGGAATATGTTTACAAACACAAGGGGAAAAAATGAGGTTGGTTAATGCGACATTGACTCGGAAGCAACTGACTCAAGAAGATCAACCACCCAAAGACACAACATTTTTCCCATCTTGTGTCATAACCAGCTACTCTCCTCCTCCTCCTCCATCCATCCCGAGCCCTCCCTCCCATCCCCTCTTCAACTCCCCCCCCCCCACTTCCCTCCCTCTAAGAGGTTCCGGCCACTTGACGATCAAACATATTGCGGCTCTGACGTCACAGCCGCGATATGCGAAATTTTACACGAGCCGAGAGAACAAAAGTGGAATAGAAGGTCGCCTGCAATTCGGGACACTGCCAAGTGCCCTACTCTCCGCCTCAACACCTTTCACCGCTAATTAAAAAAAAAAGAGCGTGCGTTCTGGAGGAGGAGGTCGTCCGTGTGAGAGAATGCGTGTCTGCGAGGAGAGACAAAAACCCTCACTTAACGCGAACATCAAATACAACAAGTCTGCTTGCTTGTTCCTCCAGAGAAAGCTTTTAAACTCGGCTATAATATAAAAATAGACATCTACAGACAACTGTGAGCGCGTCTTGAAGTCGTAAGCGCCTGGCGTGGTTGAAGCTCCTTGACACCGCTGATTGAAGAGACTGAAGATCATAGCAAGAAGAAGAAGAGCAATAAGAGGAAAAACATCAGGAGGAAGAGGAACAGGAATGAGGAAGAAAACAACAGGAGGAATAGGAATGAGATGAAAACAGATATATGAATGAGGGGAAAAACAGGAGGAAGAGGAATGAGGGGAAAAATAAAAGGAAGAGGAATAAGAAAAATACGACAAAAAGGAACAAGAGCAGTAGGAATAAAGGTAAAATTACG